AGTTAGCCAAGATTTAAGCTTATTGAATGAATTTAGCGTAACTTTTTGGTAAGGAAAACTAATATTTATATGATACGACACAGTATCAATAAAATATTGATTTTATATGATTATATGATTGATATGTGCATGAAGCATCATATGCTTCATGCACATCACCATTTAAATACATATCTTTCCAATTTTCTCTAATAATAATAGATTTAAACGTTTGATAATTACTGGTATTGAATAGTCGCTTCATTGCATAGGCAGGACTATGTGTAACATGATCAAGTAATAATAACTGTGCAGAATGATCTGATAAATTATGATGACAAACAGTACAAAAAACATTTTCATTAAAATTGACACACATATAGTCAATGGTGGTAGCAGAAGTGGCTGTTATCCTAGTGAGTTACTTTATTAAATTACACATTTTGTACGATGATATAATATTAAGTAGATTATTTTTTTTGATCGGACTCTTCTAAATATGTAGTTGATATTAAAATCTCCACATAGGATTACTTTATCACGATTTTTAATACACACCCTTCTCAAAATATCATTTAAGTATGCAAAAAACTCGTTTTCATATTTATTTGTCTATATATTCTATATAGACATAATAGTTTAATAGTCTCAGAATCTAATTTTATCTCAATACCAACAATTTCTAATATTTTTTCTTTACAGCAAGATTTCAAAAATTGAATTTCTTTTACATACATAGTTAAATAATCTTTAATATAAATAGCTGTACCACCATTTCTAAATTGTTTTCTACAAAAAATTGATGATAAAATATATCCATTTAATTTTACAGAATCAATTTGATATGCATTTAATCAGTGCTCAGTAATACAAACAATATCAACATTATTATCTGATAAATACAATTCTAGTTGGTCTATCTTATTTCTAATACACTGTATATTTATATGTAGTATACGTAACTTAGAATTGGTACCGCTAGTACAATAATTCGATTACTATTTGTCAGGGAATTTGTAACAGATTTTCTGTTTCTCATTTTCAATCTTTTTCTGGACTATGGGACAATTTAGATCAAAACAAGAGTGACTAACGTCAATATTGGACTGTGATTTCAAATTAACATCTAAACAATTTACACATTTGAATGACTCACTCAAATTTGCATGCCAAGCTTTATGGATCTTAAAATGAGAACACCATTAAATAAATATTTTTTTGCATTAAAAACATAAAAAAAAAACTTGGACGAAAACTCTATTTTGCATTTTACTATGCTAGTGTGTATACAACGTTGTAACTATAAGGTAATAGTATGGGGTCAAACAACTGTATATTCTGGGATATTCATAATTCAAAAACGTATAATTCGTCTTATTTTTGGAATGACGCAAACTGAATCTGGCAGACCAATTTTATGTTTGTCTATAAAAACATTAAAGATTTTAAAAATCATACGCATATACCCGACAAGAAATAGATACAAAATATGTATTGACAAATTTTATCATACATATTGCAAAAAATCTCCACTTTATACTGGTCAAAAGTTCTTCTATCTTCTTCATCCGGAAATAAAAAGCAGCAAATCAATAAACATATTCAAAAATAAAATAAAAAAGTTACTGACAGAGAATTGCTTCTATAATATAAAATAATTTTAAATTTATTGTATGTCTCTTAGGCATTAACATCATAATTATCGAACTGCTCGCAGTGAGATACTTGTGAATATAATGTTGGATTAATGTAGTTAATCAAGTAGACCTGGCTTGGGACGAGTGCTTAGTTACCTATATTATACAGGGTGTCTCACAGTGACGGCCCATTAGAATTATTTCAGAGATTACTTCGATTTGAATTTTGAAAATTTGGGATACAGGGTTTTCGGGCATGCCCTTCTCAACTAAAATAATGGCGTCCACGTACCACTTAGACGTCTTTTATGCACGCGTTTTTCTCCTCTCAACGCGAAATTGAGAAAAACGCGGTATATTTCTGCTCCATTTTATGCACGCGTATTCTATCAGTTGTCGCCAGTTTCATGCCACACAGTAGTCAGTGAAGTACATGAAAATGGATCCGTGTATATTGTATTTGTGCTATAAAAAAATATGTAATAGAAAACGTAAGAGGCGATGGGTAGTACATCCAATTAATAGAAATAGAATTCAATTGCGTCCATTGCATCCATGTCCCGCTTGATCAATAGCTAAACTAAAACTAAAACAAACTGTGTTAAAACTATTCTTGACAGACAGAGCCACTGGACTTGCGACAAAGAGCGCTTTGCATAAAAACGCCGATATACTTTCGTGCTTTTTCGGAACGCGTGTCGCCAAGCGTTCTGTAAAGCCATCGCGACAGAATTGAAAACGCGAGAGCAAATAAATGAGCGTAAAATGCATAAACGTAGTAACTCTATTCAGGGTATCTTGAAACGCGGCGTTTTTGTCAACTCCGCGTTGAGAGGAGGAAAACGCGTGCATAAAAGAGGTCTTAACGTGAACTGCTGCTGCAGTGGCTCCCGCTTCTCTTTCATAAAGTATATCGTCAGGACAGGATAAGTTGTACAATATTATCAATTTCAGCTCTCTTAAAATACATTTGAATTTTCTACATTTTATAATAGTGTAATATTTGTATTATCTGGATTATTCAAATAATTCGAATATTGCAATAATTCCAATATATTCGAATAATTCGAATAGGTAATCGAATAAATATTGAAGTAACTATTCGAATACGAATACGAAATTTAAAAAATGTCCCAGCCCTAGTAAAAACCAACACTTGTATACACAGGAAGAGCATTAATTTATATAAATACAAATTTCATACAAAGTTGATCATATATTTAATTATTCATTTATGTATACAGTGTAGGAAAGCGCCGATGGTCTATCACAAATTACGTGAGAGCGATAAAGTAAGACATAGAAATCCATGTGATCCATCCATCTTATTTGTGGAAGGGCGAAACGGGCGGTGACAAAGAGAAGCCTTCATTATAGCCATCCTTCTCTATCGCATGGATTTCTATGTCTTACTTTATCGCTCTCACGTAACTTGTGATAGACCATCGGCGCTTTCCTACACTGTATACCCCACATTCTGCAGTTTTTTCAATCAAATGAAAATTCTGGCATGCGTTTTTGCTTAAACACAGTGCGTTCAGGATGAAATAAGGAACAAATTCGTTTAAAATTCAGGTAATTATTTTATGAGAAAAAGCTTGGACATGTCGATTAGGTAGTATTTTTTTGTTGTGGATATTTTTACATAAGAAAATTGCATACAGCGTATCTTAAGAAGAACAAATGCAGTCACCATTGATTTTTTTAATAGAACACTCCGTATATTATGCCATTTGTGAATTGTACTGTAAATTCTGAACACTTCTTGTAGGTATAACATACCATATCTTTAATCAGCGGTTTTCTTAATAATGAAAAATGAAAATAGAAAATGAGAATAGAAAAATTATAATAGATGTTCAATGTTTTGTTCGTTTACTTCAATACATTTTTGTAGTCGAAGAATTCTTTCCCGTTTTCAATTACCTCTGCTGGAATAAGCCTTATTTCCTGGCGTATTCTCTGTTTAAGGTCATCAAGATTGTTTGGTCTATTCACATAAACTTTAGATTTCAAATAACCCCATAAGAAGAAATATAAAGGGTTTAAATCCGGTGACCTTGGTGGCCACTCAATAGGACCTCTGCGTCCAATCCATTTATTAGGGAAAGTTAAGTCAAGAAATTGTCGAACTGCAATTGCAAAATGAGGAGGTGCCCCATCGTGTTGGAACCATATGTCATTATGACATTGGGCGTTCACTAGCCACGTGAGCCTTTTTATAAATACCACATGCTGTGCCGGCCGGGGCAAATATGTGGCTTCTTTCTAACTTAAAACTCGTAATATTTAAAATAGGGTCGTAGTACAGGGTGTAAAAAATATTATCTTACAGAAGTTTTGCTAAAAATTCCACGGCTATCCTCGCAATAAATTACATGATTTTAGGTGATTACACAAAAAATAGTAGATAACTTAAAAACTAGAAAAGATAGGTATAGGGAACCCTGATACCGTTCGAAAGAGAATAAAATTGTGTATCAGAATAAAAGCCGACTTATGAAGGTTTGAGGTTAACTAAACTTGGCATTAAATTTCTAGCATCCTGTATGCAATTAAGCCACTTTGAAAGTATGGATGGGAAGCTTAAGGGTCTAGCTATAAATATAAATAAATATTGTTGCTTTATCTTTCTTACTATAAAATACACATGGTTTGAAGTTAGTTACTGTTTCTCTCCATTTAAAAAAAAATAAATATCTCGAAAACGGTTAATTTTAGAAATAGGGAAACTTCATAAAAGTCCACCTAAAATAACACGTAGAATCCAAAATTTCAATAATATATAGGGTGTTCCACTTAAAATAAGCAAGTTGATGGCGACTTCCGGTATAACCGTTAAGACAAGTTAAAACGCAAACGCAGTTTGCATGACGTCATATTCGACTATTTATCTATTCGAATAGTTAAATTACTCGAATAGTTAAATTATTCGAATAATTTGAATATTCGAATAGTTAAATTAATCGAATAATTCGAATGTCCGAATAGTTAAATTTACACTTATTCGAATTTATAGATAGTACTAATTCGAATATTCGAATTATTCGAATATGATTCCCAGCACTAGTTTTTATTTTACTTTATTAACGTATTAAGCTAATTCAAACAAATCCTACCAAATGAAGTCAAATAAGATAATAATAATAATCCGTATCTAGTCATGTAAATAATTTTTTGACAAACGTCGTTTTTTTAAAACCTCATTTTTTCATTAATTTTAATATAGGTATATTTAAAATTTTATGGAAATGTTTGTGACGAGAAGGAAAGCCGCCCGATAAAGCAATTACAAGTAAAATATGTTGGTGTTAACTATTCAGTAAAATAGGTAATCTCAGACGCCATTATAAAATTACTTAAAAGCATGAGTTAAGTAAACAGTGAAATATCAAAATTTTAATCCCTTATTAACAACTAAAATTTGCCCTGTGTGAAGTATGTTTTCAAAAACATATCCATCTTTCTAATATAAGAGTAATACTTTTATAAAATTAACGAGTAGACGTCAATACAATTTGGGAATAAAAGAATTATTCCCAAATTGTATTGTATGTAGCGTAACACTAATTAATCAATGTATATTAACAATTAATTTTACTAGCGATCATATATTAAAACTTCGAAGGAATCGGTGCTCTTTTCCTGATTTCCTGCAGGATAATAGAGTTTCACATTTCCAATACCATGTTCACGAACTTTAGTGACCACTGTCTCTCCTTGGTACCTTATTCTGCCGATGTAAGTCACTATGTCATTCTCCACTCCACCTTGTACCAAATGTCTGTTGGTCGTTAGTACTTGGAAGTTTCTAGAATCCACATGCATCCATTTTATGTTTTGTTTAGTGGCACTGCATAGGATCTAAAATGTTCAATTTCACTTAATTTGAAATAATACTAGTACAGAGGAATTGATTTGTGACAACCATAGCTTTGTATCTATGTTTTTCAAATATGACTTAATTTCCAATAAAAGAGTTAATTTAAGGCTGAAACGACCAAAATCATACTACCTATGCATTTTTTGGGGTGCTGAAATCAATTTTCAGATCAGAATTGGTCTATCACCCCGTAGGTAACTTTAAATTCGGAGTTTTTCTCACTATTTCTGTTTAACATTTACTTCGTACCTTTTACTTTCTTTATTTCTGCAACGTTGAACTCTGTATAGTACCCCAAAAAAACATATGGATAGTATTGTTGACTCGATTTAGCCTTTACTTTACCCCTTCATCGAAGATCATGTAATATTTGAGATATTTTTTGGAGTTATATAAACACCAAGAACGCGCCTTTTCTGGGTCTGTGTTACTAAAAGATCTTTGTAAAAACCCTTTAGGCCAATCAATAGAGGTTTTGTTTGTGACAAAAATATTAGTAGCAAACGGACTGTACCATCATATAAAAAAGAGTCAATATTCAAAATTGTATACCTATATATCCACTGCTCCTCATCTTAATAATAATAATAATAATAATAATAATAATAATAATAATAACTGTAAATATGCAGAAA